CAAGCCAACTCTCGAGAAGGCCGTCCTCCACGGTTTTCGAGCCCCGTCCAGCCGTGGCAGAGGCCCCGTCGCCTTTCGACCCGGTCTGAAAGACTGGGAAACCTACTGGGAAGCTCCAGAGGCCCCTTTGGTGTTCTGGAGGGCCTTCCTCTCTTTCTTTTTTTTGTTTTGCAAGTGCCGGCGGTAAAAGCGCCTGTGACGCTCATGCGTCGTGATACGGAATCCCTTGCCCTGTGGCGAGGGTAGCAGCGGCACGGGGGCTGATCTACACCAAGTCCCACGTGTCGACCGATGTGGTGGTGGAGGAGGTCGTGTCCTCCTCCTCTGAGCCCTCGGGGATCGAGCAGATCCCCGTCGCCTGAGTTGGGAACGGCTTGGCAGGCGGCATCGCCTGAGGAGGCGATTTGGCCGGCGGCTGCTCCAGTGGTGCCGTCCAGGCTGGAGCCGTGGGGGTCCACGGATCCCCGTTCTGCCAGCCGCTCCCGCTGCTGGAGCTGGCCATCGTGTGCTGATTCAGCGCGTGCACCATCGCCGTGACAGAAGATGCCACCTGCACTAGTGCCGTCCAGGCTGGAGCCGTGGGGGTCCACGGATCCCCGTTCTGCCAGCCGCTCCCGCTGCTGGAGCTGGCCATCGTGCGCTGATTCAGCGCGTGCACCATCGCCGTGACAGAAGATGCCACCTGCACTAGAAGACTCAGCATGTGGTCGACTGCCTGATGCATCGATGTTGTCTCGAGCTGCATCGCGGTCAGCTGGTCGGCGATCGAGTCGATGGATTCTCCGAAGTTCTCGAAAACGCCTAGCATGCGCTGAACGTGGACCACCGATTGGTACACTTGCTTGAGTCCCTCTTCTAGCTGGCTGTTGCTGCCAATTTGGTTGGACGCCACCAGCTGCTGCATCTGCTCGACGACTGGCTGAATGTTGGCCAGTAGCTGTAGTCCCTCGGGTCGATTCTGAAGATGATGAGAGAGAGAGAGAGAGAGAGAGAGAGAGAGAGAGAGAGAGAGAGAGAGAGAGAGAGAGAGAGAGAGAGAGAGAGAGAGAGAGAGAGAGAGAGGTCATCATCGCCGAGATCCCGTTCACAGCGTTGAGGGTCGCCGCACCGTCAACGAACCCCTCTCTCTCCTGAATCATCTGAATGGTCTTCTCTGCTGTGGCGGCGGCCCGACGGGCTGCCTGAGCCGCCGACTCGGTTCGTTCGGCTGGGGCGCCACCCTCCTGCCCCCGAGGCGTCCACTCCAGGCGATAGCCGCATAGAGCATAGACCGCGCTTGAAGCCTCGCCGACGCTGATTTCCACATGGCTGCCTCCGGTCTGCAGGATGGTCGCATTGGGGAGGCGGCTTGTAGGGAATCTTCGATGCTTTCGGCATGGGCTTCTGTATCTGCGGATGCTGCTGAGACCAGCCTGGTCGTCCGCCGCCTCCTGGGTTTGCCGCGGCTGCTCCTGGTGCTGCCGCTGCGGCTGCACCCAAGCTGCTGCTGCTGCTGCTGGTACCGACCCAGTGGTTCGAGGCTGCGGCCGCTGCTGTCCCCTGCTGATGTGCTCCCGTCTCGTTCTCCATCCCGTTGGTCAGCTCCTCGTACTCCTGCTGAACCCGGCGAAGCTGCTCCTGCAGTTGGCGAACCCGCTCTTCTTTTGCCGGAAGATCGGGTGGAGCCGTCTTCGGTCCTCCGTAGACCACGCCTGCAGTGCTGAGAAACAGCAGCGTCACCAGGACTGAAGGCATTGTCCTGTCTCTGATCTTGACTGGAGAGAGAACCGACACTCTCAAGGTTATCGATGCTGGAAGACTTCGAGACGAGAAAGGCTACGGAGGCGAGAGCTGTGACCCATTGGGGAAGACTGCTTCTACGGGGTAGCGTCCTGTTTCTCGGCGGTGTCCGAGTTACGGCTTCAGTCTTGACGAGCTCCCTCTGGATCACCTTAGTGTGATGGTCCCCAACTAAGCCCCGATCTGGTTCTGCTAGGCCCTGCTGAGCCCGTGACTGACACTGGTACTGCTCTGCTCTCGAGAGGCCCTCGCAATTGCTCTCGAACTCCGTCGGGTAAACCCTGGAGCGGCCTGCGAAACCGAAGACGTTCTCCGTGTCCGCTATCCCTAAGTACTCCTCGTGAGCGTCCCCCTGGAAGTCTTCGGGGCCCTCGAGATCTGTGATCTGCTGGGCCTCTGGGTCCTCGAGGTGGGCCTTGAAATCGGAGTTCCGGGGGCCCCTTCTGCGGGGCCGGGTTCTTCTTAAAACGATACCCAGACCGAAGACGCAGGAGATGATGGGATAGATGTAGCGAATTACGACACCTGCGTCTGACATGCGCTGCACTGGGCCGCCAGAATATTCGAACGAGTTGGCTGAGAGGAACGGCCACCTCTGAAGCGATCCGGCTGGCGCGGATGCTCCAGGCCGAAGTGCCCTCACAATGTCGGCCATTCTGTGGCCTGATCCTAGCTTCGTAAGTTTTGTCGTCTCTCCGAACCTACTCGGCGCCAGCGTATTCTCGGGTAGATCCAAAACGCAGCCCAAGAAGTCTAGAATATTGACGCTGATGATGTGCGGAACATCATCGGCCAGCACTGCTGTCTCGATTATTCCGAGAACTCCGAAAAGACAGAGCGGAAAGAGAATGCTGGCCACTACCTTGGCCGGCCCACCAACGCCGCGGGCGGCGACATGTCGTCTATGCTCCACTGGAACTTCAACATATCCGAGACCGTGCTCAGCCAGTGCTTGTGATTCTCGGTTCAGAGCCCGGATGCCAACAAGATCACTCCCTGCCCCTGGGTCTACCAGCCCTTGGCATGGAAGCGAAACGAGGAAGGTGTCATCCTCCTTGATCTCCCGATGGACGGTCCTCCAGATCTCCTCTGCCTCCGGGCTGGGCACCTTGTCGGCCGATGCCATGCCGTTGAAGGCATACGCGGCCATGCGTCGATCCGCTCCGGTGTTCTTCGGGCATTCACGGCTCCAGTGACCCTTCTGGTTGCGCGTTCTGCAGCGGGTCACCTTCATCTTTTGCTCTAAAGTAAGTGTTGGTCGACGCCTGGACCGATCTCCTCGGCGGCTGTCGCCTCGGCCGGCACCCTTGGACGGTGGAGACGGGCGCTCAGCCTTAGGTTTGTCAGCAGCTCCTCGTGGTCCGGCTGCTGGGCGTCGTCCTCCGTAGTACTCTCGGTCACGCTTGGCCGCGCGCTTGAGGTCTTTGTTTTCCTTCCAGGACCGTCCAGCTGGGCGGGCCGCAAAGGCCTCGAGGGCGGCATCCAGCTAGTCCTCGTAGAGGTCGAGATCCTCGAACTCTTCGAGAAGGATAGCCTCATCCTCGAAGTCGTCGTCAACTTCCTCCTGGTCCGTAGAGCCGTCGCCTGTCTCCTCACCACCTTCGAACCTACCCGCGGGGAACGAGGGAGTGGAGGAGGGAGGCTGACTGACTGCCGTGGCACGCTCGTCGTCGCCGGGCTCTTCGGCCGCGGGACCTGCCAGCAGCGTGCCTGCGGAACGACCTGAAAGAAGCCTCTCAGAATTAGTGGCGTCCATCTGCCTCAGGGCCCAGGACACACTGTCGTAGTCCAGGTGTCCATGCGTCAACGTTCTGAGATTTTTCTGACCCTGAGCGGACAATCCAGCGCCCTCTTCCAGAAACAACCCCTTCAACTTGGGGCTGAACCACATGTCGTGCCCCTTTGCCTCGGTCAGTTGCGCCTCGCGGCGGATCACATACTGAACCAGCGTCTCCCGAGGCTCACGTGCTGCTTCGTACAGGGCCCTGCGCCCGGCACGCCGCAGGTCGTCGCCTTCTCGCTCACCGGCCATGGTGTCCATGCGGCGCAGGATGACCTCCAGCCACGAGGCGCTGTTGAGCGTGCTCTCGGGGATATCCTCGAATTTGGCCTGGAGGTTCCAGTCGAAGAGCTTGAACAATTTTTCAGCCCTGCGCCATATCGCCACGTCGGCGTTCTGATTCCATCTGCGAATAGCACGGCTCCACTGCCGGTAGTGTCCGAAGCCGGGCCATGGCGGTGGATCTGAATAGTCGCCTTTGCCACCGCCAGCGCCCCAGCCCCACCAGTCGCCGGCACTAGGGCCAAAATGGCCCCTACTGCTGCCGGTCCAGCGCTCCCAGGCCTGATTCGTGCTGTCGCCCTGATCGCCCCCCTGCTGCTGGTCGGCGCCTCCCCGGCGCCAGCCGGCCGCCTCGGACCAGTTCCACTGGTCCTCCTGGCGATCTCCCTTGGCACTGCTGTCGGCCCAGCCGTGCAACCAGGGATCTTCTGCTGCTCTCGTGGCCGCGGCCACCGGCGTCTGAGACGATGATGCTGCTTCCATAGTCTCGCGGACTACCCCCACGATCATCTCTTTCAGCTGCGCCGGTGTGACCGCTGCCAGCGTGTCCCCTGCTGCTGGGCTCGCTAGAGCCTCGGCTGGGGACTCCTTCTCCTTGCCGTCTCGCGTCGTCATCCGTGGATCTCCACGCCAGTCGGACCTGGATGCGAGGTCCTTGCCCCAGGCGCTCGAGAGCTTCCTGGGCAGCGCCGCCTCAGCGCCGCGCCGGAGCTCCCATGGGCCTGAAGCGGGGTCACCCCGCTCCGCTACCAACTGTGGCAGCAGATCGCCCCTGGGATGTTTTTCCCTTGAGCCAGAACGCGAAACGGTCGGACTCTCCAAATGCTGAACCTAGGGATTAAAATCTGGATGGCATTCACAGGTGGGAGTCCAATCGTGAGCCCGCACGCTCCTGGGCCGGGCGGGCTGTCAGATCCCCATCGGCGATCAATGGGCGATTGGTGGTCGCTGCACCTCCCCCTGAGCCTATTGCCCCCAGTGATCCGTCGTGTTTTAGGGTCATAGCTCGGATCTCCTGTGGCCATTCGGGACGATCCTGGCCCCCCCAGAACGCCCTCGGCGAGGCGCAGCTGCAGAAAGGCACCCCAAGGCTGGAAAACCCCGAGAACCCCACGAAACCGTACCGAAACCCTCGAACATCGAACGTTGCCCCTGACTCCTCCACCAGGCGTCGTAGCCACATGTGCAGAGCCTGCCGGGCCGAATGCGAGATCGGGCGGGCATGCTCCGCAAGCGCCTCCGTCTCCGCACGGACGCCAGGGCGTCGGCGCCAGGGCCTGCCGCGGGCAGGCTGGCGCGGGCGTCCGCGGCCGGGGCAGCCAGGGCCTGGCTGGACTTCCGATCCACGGGATCGGTGAAGAAGCAGTGGTCGATGAGCGGGTTGCCGCACTGCCACCTTCAGGAGTGGCGAAGTCCCGACGGGGTAAGAGACGGAGGCCGAGCACTCCGTGGGGACTTCTACTGTGTACGAAGTTAGCGCCCAACCAGGAGAGGTTAAGTCCAGACGGAGTAGGCCCAGACGGAGACCGAATACCCCGTGGGGACCTACTCCACACGGACTTGGTTAGAATCCTCCAACACCTGAGCGACGAAACGAAATGGGTCTTGAGCGAGAAAACAAGGTGACCTTACGCCGCGGCTTCCGCGAGCCGCCAGCGTGGCACTCCGCGTGGCGAAGAGGGCGCTCACGCGCAACCTTACGTGGGGAACTGACGCGCGAATGTCCGCGCAATTGGCCCCGCTTTCTTGCGACGCTCACCTGCCGCAGATGCCCATATAATCCGCCGGGACCAGGAGGCCCTCGCAGTCGCCGTCGCCGAGGTCCTCTCTGGTGACGCCAGCGTTGGCAAGGAAGCAGAGCAACTTCAAGACGGCCCTGCTGCTCCGCGGATCGGCACTCTGACGTCGAAGAAGACACAGCGGCACAAACCCAACTTTTGAAGGCCGCGCGGGCGTCTTGGATCTGCGCTGGATCCCCTCGGCGGCGCCTCTGGCGCCGCCCCGCGCGCCCAGGAACGGGGCCCCAGCGCCGATCCGAGAGATCTGCGCAGACCCACGAAACTTCCTGCCTGCGCCGTGCTGTCTTCTCCAGTGGCTGTGCCGCCCGCCGTGGCCGCCGCGAGGCCGGCTCCGGCGGCGCGTGCTCCGCCCCGGGGCCAGGGCCGCGCACCTCTCGGCCACACGGGGGGGGGGGCCCTCCTCCTCCTCCTCCTCCTCCTCCTCCTCCTCCTCCTCCTCCTCCCTCCTCCTCCTCCTCCTACTAGTCGGCGCGGGCAGGCCCGAAGCTTTACCGACCCGCCAGGAGGGTACGAAACTTCCACCACGCGACTTGCTCGGCCTATCCGCTTGCTGCCTCGGCCAAGGGAGGAGGCAGGGGGGAGAGGAGGGCAGTCACGGCCACATACACTCGCAGTCCGCCCAATGAAAATAGTCACGCACAACCCACAGAGCGCAGCGATGAGCGAGCGACTAGAAGACACTAGCTGCGATCTGAAGGGCTGGGACATAGTACTATTGAACGGAACACATCACTGGGCGGCAGCAGAGGGAGTGTTTACCCACCGACTACCACACCATCTGGCATACCGATTTGGAGGGAAGAAAGGCAAGTTTGTGACGAAGGTCTGTGGAATCGCCATTCTGGTGGCACACCATATACACCCGACGTCCCTACGAAGCACTTATGTCCCCCCAGCCGAGATCCAAGGTAGAGTGGGGGGCCTTCGTCTCTGGTCACGAGAAGTGGCCTTATGTTTTTTTAGCGTTTACCTCGCCCCCATCCACTGCCAGTCCTTCTCCACGATAGCAAGAAAAGTGACGGGATGGGTGGAGAACCAGAACGACGGGTCGGGGGCTCGCTGCACAGTAGTGGTGGGGGGTGATATCAACAGTCAGCTAGGCTTGCATAGAGGACCAGACGGAGTGGTCACAGCTAATAGAGGAGCCACGACGGGACCAAAGCACCACTTTCTGGAAAACGAGAACGGGCAGTATTTCAGGGAGATGTGTACAGGTTCCCACCTTGCAGTTGCTACAACGTAATACGAAATGGGCCCGACCTACTATTCCCCGAAGGGAGGCTCCAGCACAATAGACCACATTGCTATTCCAGTCTCTGCCCTTCCATTGGTGTCTCGCTGCGTTGCGTTGCGCACGTCGGCGAAGAGGCTGCAGCTGATACGGAGGAGGGGACACAGAGACCACATCCCCATAGGCATCGTCCTAGATGTTTCGGGCAGGAACAGTTTTGCGTCGATGCGAAGGGAAAGGGGGCCCCCCCTGGATCGGGACAAGCTGATGGAATGCCTACGCAGAGGCACAGCGCGCCCCGACCTTGTTGCTGCTCTGGAAAGGGAGATGGAGGAGATGAAGGAACAGTGGGAGCAGGCGAAGCAGGAGGGGACGCCCGACAAAATGTGGGACTTGTGGAGTGGAGCAGCTCGGAGGGCACTGGACACCTGCTTCCGACAGGGGCAGAAAGACCTGGACTCGACAACGGCAGTGGTGCGAGAGCGACGGATGACACTGTTAGCAGAAAGGAGGGCCCTAAGAGAAATAATGGTAGATGGCGAGTCCGACGAGCAACTTGTGCAGACACAACAGGAACTCTCGGAGATGACGGCCCTACTGAAGGTCTTGAGGCAAGACGCAGAGAAGGCGAGAAGAGCTAAACTTGTGGAGGAAATCTGGGAAGCCCATCAGAGAAACGATTTCAGCACCATGCACAGACTGCGTATCCAGTGCCAGCGAAACGGCAGAGGCCCTAAGAAGCGACATTATCAGACAGCTAGAACACACTGGCCGAAGGAGGAATGGCTTCGAGAACTTGGTAAGAGACCCGAGGAATGAGGACTAGCAGCACAGGAGATCGACCTGGACGAGTATGTTAGGGAGCAACGGGAGAGAATCGAAGAGCAACTACCTTTGCCCGAAGATACGGAGGCCATGTCACTCATGCTGTTGGACAAGCGCTGGATGCTGAAATACTGTAAAAAAAGGCGGCAAAACGACGGGCCTGGCCTAGATGGGGGATCCCTGTGGGACTTACTTGGATGATCCTGGATCCCTCGACGCATCTGGATCATCCAGAGCTCTTGAGCCGCCAGATAGAAACCAATATGATTCGTGCAGCTGAAGGGAGAGAGGACGAGGAGGATTTGAGCAAGTACACGACACTGTTTCGTTATCGAGTAGACAAAAGAATTTTGGAAAGGATGGGATGGAACAGCGGAGAGAGACTGGGCAGTAAGGGTGAGAAATTGGACGGCACAGAGTTGGACGCTTGCGAAGTGACACCGTACTTTGTGGACCGACCAGAGAAATGGGGGATTGGGCACGGCCAAATTGCGCGGGAACGACGAAGAGGGACCGTATGTGTTCCAGCAGCTTCTGGATCAGCTGTTGATGAAATGCAGGACATCGCAGGTGACTCCCCTGGCGTGGCGTCGTTCTATGTCCTTTGATGCGGATAAAAACAATGGGAAACCAGGCATCGGAGGGACACGTATCATGCATGCATGCGACTCTATGAGTATGGCGTGGCATTGGGGTATACACAAAAGGGGCCCTCAACCAAGTCACCCCCCATGGGCCCCAGGAGGCCTGGCGCGCAGGAGCCGCGAAAATGCGCTTCTCTGCTTGCAGGCTGTGCAGTGGAGGGCGAGGGAAGGGGGAGTGAGTATTGTGCACGCAAACTACGAATGCAGCAACGCATTTGCCAGTGCGAAGCGGGAGCTCCTCCAGGCGACGGCAGGGAAATATGCGAGCGAGGCAGATCAGTCATTCGCCTTAGGAGCTATTTGCAACACGCAGCTCAGCATGCGTTGCGCTGATGAGTGGCTGCACGCAGAGACGACGGTGGGGGCCCAGGTGGGTTTTACTCTGTGCCCGCGCCAATTCAACGATGTCTACAACTTGTATGTAGACAAGTGGCTTCAGTCGGAAAAAGACAGGGATATACGCCAAACGCGGCACGACACACGGAATCCTGACTGACACTTGGCACGACTTGGCACTGAACACGTTCATGGACGATGCGACGCGCACACACACGCAATTCTTCAGGGAGCAACGGCCAGCGCGGTGACAGAACAGCTGAATGGAGCCACGACTAGACTGGACCAGACCATTGGCAAGGGCGGATGGAGGTTGAACCAAGGCAAAACCAACCACCTCTTGCGCATCTGTGGCCCTGGGAGCTACACAGCGACAAGGCAGCTTAGGCGGTCCACTGAACTAAAGGGGGAAGCGCTACGAGAGATGAGAGCCCTTGGACCATACATCCCATCTGGCCAGGGGCTGGGGGGGGGGGAAGTGCGCAGACGGATTTCAGCCATGAGAGTGGCCTGGAGGCAATGTGGCTGTTTCTGGAGCTCAGACACCCCTGACCCCATCAAGCGCACCATGTTCATTGCATTCGTCTTGGGGGCCGCATGGAGCGGCATGACTGCTTTCGTTCCCCCAGCCGCCCTTACGGAAGCCCACGATGCTGTGATTGGTAAGTATTTGCGCAGACTTGCAGTAGGACGGATGAGTTGGCAGCTCGAATCAGGCGAGACCCGTTGCTATCCCGACAGCACGAGTGTTCAAAGAATGGGGGATAGAAAGGAGTGCCACAGCCCTCAGGACCAGGCGATCAAAGTGGCACAGAAACTGGGCGTTGTACCCCCACGAGCATGCACATGTTATTGCTGCAGTGTTTGGCGAATCCAAACTAGACGAGAGGAGCCAAATTCGCAGGCTGCAGGCAAAAAGGTGGGTGTGGTGTTTTTTTCGACCCCGTGGGCCCTACAACTCAAAGCAGACCTGGATGCACTGGCTGAGGTGGTGGAGGAAATGAGGGCTTGGTACGACAAACGGACATCGGATTTCGAGATCTTTTGCCCAGGGACCCAGGCGTGGCAACAGTGGACAATATGGATGTGACGGTTATCCGCAGTGCAGCACTGACTTGGGACCAGGGGAAGGAGGACGAGGAGTTGAAAGGAGACGAGGGGGTGACAAAGCCTTTTTGGTGCGATTGTTGTGGTCACGGACGAGCAGGGACACCCAAGGTATGTGGGAAACGTTTTGCGACGACAGCAGCACTCATAGGGCATCGCAGAGAACTGCACAACATCCGACCGTTGGTAGCCAGCTTAGTGGCGACTAACCAATGCCCTTGGTGCGAAAGTACCTTCGCAGACAGGCGCACGGCGATTGACCACGCCACGAGGGCCGCCGACGGACATGGAATACGTCACCGTGACCGCAGCAAATGGAGCCACCCAGTTGCCCCACCAACAAGTTTGAAGTGCAAGATCTGCGATTTTGAGGCTCAAGACCTGCCCGAGTACCACGCTCACGCGAGGGCTCATCACCCAGGCCCCACTTCGGTCAGATAACCTAGGAAGGGTGCGGCACACAGAGGAAATGCCAGCCGAGTTCATGGGGCTGCGCCCGCTCGGCGTGCCAGCATGGGGCCTCAGGCGCAGGGCAGACCGATGGGGACCTCCCGCAGTCAGACGAGAGGGTCACGAAGGAGGGCAAGGGGGGCCCCCAGCAGGCCAAGGGCGGGGGCTCGAGCGGGGCGGCGGCGGCAGGAGGAGGCGAACCACCGCGCAGACCACAGCCGCAGAAAGGAGGAGGCAAAGGCGACGATCACCACACCCAGCTCGGACAAGCTATCAGCAACCTGCAGAAGCTGTCGCTGCGCACAGCGATGGTGGCACGAGAACAACAACACCTCAACTCGGACTTCTGGCTGATCCCAATCTCCTGTTCGCCGTGCCGAGTGGCCATCCAAACAGGAAAAGACTACGCCATGCAAGTGGGGGCGGCGGGAAAAAAACACTCGATGGGCCCTCCTCACGCCCGCGTCGCAGTTGCTACGATCTCCGAAATGAAAAACGTTCTGGCGG